AGGGGAAGCAACAGTGGAAGGGCCTCACTAATAATGAGCAGCCCGGCTGTAAATTTTGTGGGTCCTGGAGACACAGATCTGAGGACTGCCAGTATAGGGATAGGAGGGATGATGACAACCCACCGGGAAAAAGTTTTTTTCAGATCTAGAACTATTAAGTGTTTCCTGTGTTCAGGACCACACAAACGTAGTGTATGCCCTAAAGTAGTAAAGGGTAAAGCAAGTGCGGCACAGGTAGGAGACAACGGTAGATCTACCCAAATATACAATGACATAGTGAAAGTAAGACCCCAAGTTATATACCCCACCTTATCAGCAACCTTTCAGATCGGGGGGTTACCCATCCATAAAGGGTATGTGGGTCAGAAAAGTTGTACTGTGTTAAGGGACAGTGGCGCCAATGTAATCGGGGTTGCAAAATACCTAGTGCCTAAATCTGACTATTTGGGAAGAAGTGTAAAATGTAGAACCTTTGGGGGGAGAATTGAGACTTACCCGCTGGCTCGAGCATTTTTGGATTGCTGTTTTTTCAAGGGTCATGCAGAGGTGTGCGTTTTGCGACACCCAGCTGCGGGAATAATGTTGGGAACGGTAAAGGGTGTAAAGGAACCAACTGAAGAAGAAATCAAACATTGGTACAGTGCTCACGAACGAGTGGCAAACGCAGTGGTCACAAGAGCCCAACAAATTCAAAAAAATGAATACGCCAAAACCGATGCAGTTGTGGAGGCTTCTGATGGAAGTCAGCTGGTTATTCCAGAAACCATAACCTCAGAAGAACATAACATTACATCAAAACCAGGGGCCCAGGGTAGTTTCAAGGAATGCCAGCAATCGGACCCAACTTTGAAGAAGTATTTTCTTAAGGCACAATACTCTGGATATAAGAAAAGTAAGGGAGGGAAGTGGTACTTCTTCATAAAAAATGGCATTCTTATGAGGTATTTTGAGAGAGCCAACAACTCCTACAAACAGCTTGTTGTACCACTCATCTATAGGGTTGAAGTTTTGAAAACTGCACATGATACCCCATTTGCGGGGCATTTGGGCATCGGTAAGACGCAGAGAAGAGTCTTATCTCAGTTTTATTGGCCAGGGTGTTCTACGGATATTCGTAACTATTGCCGATCATGTAAGGACTGTCAGTTGATGTCTAGGAGAGGTGCATTACAGAGGGCTCCAATTCAGAGTACATATTTGCCCTATCGCCCATTCGAGAAAGTAGCAATAGACATAGTAGGTCCATTATCGGTCATGTCTGAGAGAGGGAACAGGTTTATACTTACCTTCATAGATCTTGCTACAAGATGGGTCGAATGTGTCCCTTTACGATACATTACCTCTGAGGCTGTAGCGGAGTCTTTAATGCTTATTTTTTCTCGTCTGGGTTTCCCAGATACTATCCTTTCGGACCATGGGTCGCAATTCATTTCTGAATCTATGAAATCTTTTGAAAAATTGTTGTCCATTGCCCATGTCTTTGCTGCCCGGTACAACCCGAAAGCAAATGGTGTTGTAGAAAATTTTAATGGCACGGTGAAGAGCATGTTAGCAAAAGTTACGTCGGCTTTCCCTAAGGACTGGGACAAGTACCTTCCAGCTGTATTGTTTGCCTATCGCGAGGTACCACAGTCAAGTACGGGTTTTTCACCGTTCGAGTTAGTATATGGTACGAACCCCAGGGGCCCATTGTCTGTTTTAAAGGACGCCTGGTTAGGAAAAGAAAAACAAGAAGCACAACAGACTTATGCAGATTTTGTGATAGAACTGAGACATAGAATAATGTCTGCTTGTCAAATCGCGAGGAGTAATCTGGAGAAAACTGGAGTACAACAAAGAGATTATATTAATCGAAATCGGAAGCTGGTTGTACTTGAACCGGATGACGAAGTTCTTGTCCTGTTACCGGATAAAACAAATTTTCTGTTGGACTGCTGGAAAGGACCATTTACAGTGGTTAAGAAAATTTCCACGGTTGATTACTTGATCAATGTTAATGGAAAACTGAAGGTTTACAACATAAATATGATCAAGAAGTACATGACCAGACCAGCGAATTTGGAGGGTGTTATTGACTCTGTGAATGAGGAGGAGATTAATGCACATGATAATAACTCAAGAAAGGCTGGGTTTTGCCATGTGGTGGAGGAATGTATGGGGGAGGACAAGTCGGATGTTCCACTGAAGATGGAATTACCACCATTAGTACCCAAGGAGTCCTGGAAGGATGTACAGGTGTCCTATGCACTACCAGGAGAGAAACGGAGTCAAATTCTGAGAATGCTGGCCTCATTCGAGGATATTTTATCTGACATACCGGGCGTCACCACAAAAGCAGTCCACTCCATTGAATTAACCGATTGTCAACCTGTTGAACTCAAGCCATATCCGGTACCCCTTCACTATCAATCGCAAATAGACAGGGAGATTGATGACATGATTCGGTTGGGAGTGATTGAACCATCGACGTCCGCCTACTCTTTTCCTATAGTGCCTGTGAAGAAGAAGGACGGAACGTTAAGGATCTGTATCGACTTCAGGCGCCTCAACCGCATTACAAGGATAGACGCAGAAACGATACCAAATATGGAGGACATGTTTAACACTTTGACTAATGCGAAATATTTCACTAAACTAGACTTAGCAAAAGGTTATTGGCAGATACCGTTGGCGGAAGAAGCAAAAAAATATACCGCTTTCCAAACCGTCAGGGGTTTGTATCACTTTCGATTTCTTACTTTTGGGCTTTGTAATGCTCCTGCCACCTTCACAAGGATGGTGAGGAGATTGGTTGGTGATCGTAGTGATATAATTCATTATTTGGATGACATTCTCCTGTTTCATGAGGACATCGAAGCACATATACAAGGGTTGAGAAGCTTGTTGGAGCGCATCCGGTCGTTTGGATTGACAGTCAGACCAACCAAGGTAGAGGTTGCAGTCGAGGAAGTGACGTTCCTTGGTCATGTCATAGGCAGAGGGGTAAGAAAACCCGTTCAATCCACTGTTCACAGGTTTCTGAACCTTCCTGTCCCTAAGACTAAAAAGCAAGTTCGAGCATTGCTGGGTTTGAGTAGTTTCTATGCAAAATTCATTCCCCATTATGCCACCATCACGTCTGTGTTGTCTGATCTGACTAAGAAGGGAATGCCAAACAAGATATGGTGGAACGAACAATGTGGTGAATCCTTGAGACAATTACAAAGTGCATTTAATAATTTACCATTGTTGCGTTTACCTAATTTGAATGTACCCTTTGGTATTTCATGTGATGCCTCTGATGTGGGAGTGGCCAGTGTCCTCGTACAGGAGTTCCGAGGTACATGGCATCCAGTCCTGTATGCCAGTAGGAAACTGTCCCCAGCGGAGACACGCTACAGTGTGATAGAACGAGAGTGCCTGGCCATAGTGTTTGGGGTCAACAAGTTCTCCAGGTTTTTGTACGGTAACCATTTTACTATCTTCACTGACCATCAACCACTGCAGGCATTGTGTTCGGGAGCAGTGAAGAATGCCAGGGTGCTTAGATGGGCGCTGATGCTGCAGCCATACCACTTCACTGTCCACTATGTCCGAGGGGAGGAAAACGTGATCCCAGATTTCCTATCAAGGACAACTGTGTGACTAGGTTTTTCTGGTCTTGTTATTTTGAGGCATAGTAATGTACCTAACATGCTTAAGATTATGTGTGAAATATATTATTCATATTGTGCATGTTATGTAAATTATGAACTGCATATTGCCATGTGTTGAGCACGGCGGTCCTGTCTCGAGCAAACAGAAACAAATGGTGTCTGTTTGCTGGAGGAAGGGGGGAATAAGCTGTTGTGTGCAATATATGGGAAGGGAAGTTCATTGTTGAACGTGGGACTTGGTGCGGTGCGCACACATTGAACATGATGTAGAGAGAGAGAGAGAGAGAGAGTGAGTAACGGTGGACTCTACTACGCTGTGTAGGAAGCCTGTTCTAATCTGGATGGATCCAGGCTGGTCCTGCATAACTGTGTTACGCTGGCGGTAGGGTACGGGCTGTCTGTGAGTGTTGTTACAGCGGTCGCGCCAGCGTGACAGACGCTCGTGTGGCCGCAGACGAAAGGTCTGGACAAGTTTCACAATGTACTGTGCATCGGCCTGTATGATTCTGCTATGACAGTGTACCCAAGGGATGGGTGTCATAGAGGTAGACACATAACCACGAGCAGTGAGTTTGCACGAGCAGGTAATGTTTGCTCGTAGTTGACCACGGAACAGGGTGGCAGTAGAAGTAGCCCAGAGCGTCCGTAGTGTGTGTTGCCTTGCCAGTAGGAATGACTGTGGCGGTGTAACGTTTTATTCTCGTGATGCCTTTCATTGTTTTGGTGTTGAAATTAGAAATACATTAATTCTGTTTGACGTTCAACATGTATCCGGCGTCCTTATTGCTGTTGGGCGGGAATGGTGACTTGTTACTGTAACACTATTTAACATACCATGGATACTTGGCAAGTGTGCGTTGTATCAAGCGAACATTCGCACACGTCAACATTACCTGCAACAATAAACATTAACTGCAACAATAAACACTAACTGCAACAATAAACACAAACTTGAACAATAAACATTAACTGCAACAATAAACATTAACTGCAACAATAAACATTACCTGCAACAATAAACATTAACTGCAACAATAAACATTAACTTCAACAATAAACATTAACTGCAACAATAAACATTAACTTCAACAATAAACATTAACTGCAACAATAAACATTAACTGCAACAAAAAACATTAACTGCAACAATAAACATTACCTGCAACAATAAACATTACCTGCAACAATAAACACTAACTGCAACAATAAACACAAACTTGAACAATAAACATTAACTGCAAAAATAAAATGTAACTGCAACAATAAACATTAACTGCAAGAAAAAACATTAACTGCAACAATAAACATTACCTGCAACAATAAACATTACCTGCAACAATAAACATTAACAGACCATCTCATTACCTGTTCTCCAAGTCCAGCACATTTAGGACGTCATTTAGCAGCCCAAATTTCAAATCATAATCCTCTTTATTGCTGGCAGTCAGCGAGGGAGAAGCATTGATTTCAATCAGCCATCTGAGGGACCAGAGAGACAAGGACACGATTATTAAAATACTCTTTAGGCGACACTTTTAAGATAAACTGTTGAAAAATCAGTGTGTGTTTTTTATGTATTTTTTGTAAACGTCTTTTTGTGCCTGGAGCCAGAGTGGTGTAGTGGCTAGATGCTTGCCTGCGGACTGGAAGGTCGTGGGTTCGGGTCCTGACAGAACCTGAGTTTTTTTTTTTTCAGAAACGACCTCGGCTCCCAGCTTGTAGTGGGTACCAGGTAAAGTCCTGGGAAGTAAAGGTGGCGAGCGTAATGCTGACCATATCATCTGCTGACTGGTCTATAAAACAACTCTTTCCACCAGAATTTACAGCTGGTGATCCTGAAGAGGAAGTAGAAGAAGAAGAAGAAGACAAAGAAGAAGAAGAAGAAGAAGAAGAAGACTATGCAATCTTCAAATTATGAATTAAAAATAAAAGTTTATTGAAATGATATAAGTCGTTCAGTCAGTACGTCAGGTGCTATATTCACAATAATGGATTTCCACTCTCTCTCTCTCTCTCTCTCTCTCTCTCTCTCTCAGTGTGTCTGTGTGTGTGTCTGTCTGTTTGTCTGTCTGTTAGTCTCTGATTGTACACTATGTTTTCTGTCCATCTCTTGAGGTGATCTCCCCACTTATGGAAATATCATTAAATGAGTCAAAAACATTTCAACAGTGTAAAAAAAGAGATTTAAGATTTGCCTCCACAACAAAAACTTACGGCCTGAGATCTGAATCAATGAGAATGTCATAGCCATACAGCTCAAAACAGTGCTTGTCATTGATGATGACACGCTGGCAGGACTGGAGGCTGAGCACAAATATATTTGTCATCTGTTGAAACAGGCAATTTATCTGCGGAGTAAATAGTCATCAACTCTTTCAGTACAAAGCAATCCATCATATGTTCTTCGATTACTCTATGTAAAAGTAAGTAAAGGTCCTTTTTTTCCATGCCTTTAGGCATGTAGGGCTAGACCTATATTTTTATAGACCAATCAGCACAAGATTGGTGATGTGGTCAGCATCATGCTGGCCGCCTTTACTTCTTGAGACTGCACTGGTACCCACTTAAGGCTAGGTGGACCTGGAAGTCAAGATCCTTTTAGAAAAAAAAAAGTCTGGCTTCACCAGGGAGCAAACCCACGACCTTCTGATCCGCACACTAGCGTCGAGCTGCTATGCCACGGCGACTCTGATTACTCTATGCATGGTATAAATTGCTGAATTTCTCCTTTCTCGGTCTTCTGTTGTATTAACACATTCTACCTCATCATCATCATCATCATCATCATCATTGTCCTACAGTGCCATTACATATTACACAAGCCTCACTGTCTATTCCTTCATTCCATTGTATCCTGTGCAATCAATTCAATATCAAGGATGGAATCTAGTCCAGCAACTTTGGCCTCTCTCATCAACATTCATTTTAAAGTTACTTTTGTGTGTCCTCACTTTCTCAATCCCTCTATATAAAGCCTCTGGGTCTCTACTCCCTACTTTACTTGAAGCCCTTTTGCCTCATGGTTTACCATTTGAGCTCAGGAAGATTTAAAGACTGTTTCCCTAAAGGTCGATCTTCAGAGGTCCCGGGTAGTTGTCATCCTTTGGATATTTTCTCCAGGTTATGCCGGTGTATTGGGAAATGAGCAGGCAGACAGAATTGCTGGCTCTGCCCCACTTGGTGGTAAACTGATGTATGGCAAGTTAGATATTGTGAGGGCCCTTTAGGAGTGAGTGAACAGTGCAGAGGCACAGATAGATCTTTATGGTCTAAGGAGAATGGCGCTGTGAGGAGTTACCAGGGGATGTGGCCGTCGCTCAACACTCAAGGGAAGGATGAGACGGATATACAATCAGACGGTTACTGGTACCATCAGAATTGGAAAGCTTTGCTTGCTGCTGGAGATGGAGACTGAGCACTTATGGGAGTGTCCCAAGTGCTGTGACGTCGATTCTTAATTCAACATTCAACATTCTTAAGCTCTATCCTTCTTGGACACAAGAATTAGAATAAAAACTGCTCGGGATTAAAAGAGTGAACCAGTTCTTTAATGATTTGTTTGTAATTAAAATTTTAAAAAAAAAAACCTTTTCCTTGCTCTTAGGTAATTTGGACAAATAGTAGGTAGCTGTTTGCTAGGAAAAAATGTGCCAATTTCAACCAGCATCATCGAACGGGAAGCTTGAGGTTAGAACTGTTATGTACACCATATCAAATGGTTCAGCGCTGTACGCAACCAAGAGCTTCCAAAAGGACTCTGGCAGTGTTGATGCGACCAAAGGAGACAGACACAAATATTGTCTCGACCGACGATGAAGTCGTCTACCGGCCAACCAAAATGCGGCCCGGTTGCCCGTGATTTGGATATATGGTGTTAAATCCTTATTTTAAACCAGTTGGGGCTCAGTGAGGTGAAGTGGTAACCATCTCTTCGACCACCTTTATTTCAAAGGATATTTCTAATGCTCAGTTTTATGCTGGGTCAACCTGGGAGTGAAGGTCTATTTGGTAAAATCTGCCTCAAGGCAGTTAAAACCCACGACAACTGGGTCAGCAGGCAAGCATGTTGGTCACAGTGCTACCATGGCCATCAGTACAGGCAGATTTCATTTATAAATGTGTAGATAGATTGTTGTAAAAGGTGAAGAAAAGACTTGATGTTGGATAGGAGAAAAAAAGAGTACAAAATAACTAGAATGTTGGCTCTCCTCCGAACTTCTACCCCCGCATTATGGCGGCCTGAAATATCCGTTCGGGGCTCAGTTCTATTAAAAATATGCCGGCTCTGTATAATGAAACAAATGCTCTAACAGGGTCTCAGCGATATGTTACTTGAAGACTTGTTTCTTATTGTTTCTGATTACCTGACAATTCTTAGAGACGCAACACTGCAGACGATAATAGCGATCGTTGACACTTTCCATTGTCAGACTTTCTGCCAAGGAACAAATATGTAAAACAGGGACTTGTCGGACTGTCTGCCGACGAACAAATCGCGGCAAATCTATGATCGGCTCGAAAAAACTAAACAAATGCTCTCACAGTTTCTCAGCGATATGTTACTTGCGGACCTGTTTCTGTGACTATGCCTCACCGCCGACCGTATCCCCCGCGCCACTACGTGCAGCACGGATAGGGGCTAAACTAGATGGCTGGGACTCACGAGCAGCAGCTACCGCATCTCCTGCAACTTCCTCCAATTACTTTGCTCATGAGTTCCAGGCACCTAGCTTAGCCCCCCATCCGCGCCGCGCGTAGCTCCATGGGGGATATGTTTGGCGGTGAGTTTAATTGGGTTTTGCGCATGCCGACAAGTATGACATCTACCGCTGCTAAATCCTCAATCGGAAGAACAGTATTGCTAATCTGCATGGGAGCGCGTGGTCTACCCGCCATATCGCTTTCATTATATGTAATGTCTTGAAATTGTCAACGGTTGCTTTTATCGTCTGCTAGTATCGTCTGCAGAAATGCTCAATGCTCGACATTGTCACCGGTCGCTTTTATCGTCTGCTACTATCGTCTGCAATGTTGTGTTTCTTGAAATTGTCTTGTAATCCTAGTTTTGCCGCGATTTGTTCCTTTGCAGAAAGTCCGCATTTTTTCATTGGACTGAGCCCCGAACGGATATTTCAGGCCGCCATAATGCAGGGGTAGAAGTTCGGAGGAGAGCCGAATGTCTTTACACTCAAACCTAGATGGACAAAGAAAAAGTCAAATACATCTCACTGTTTATGAACAGATGATAAAACTCTCAAAGAAGACTGCTTTATTTTGTACCGATTTCTTGAATAAGAATTAATTATGATGGTTACCCAAATACTTCTCACTGTTTATGTCACAGATGATAAAGACAGAGACAAGTGGCCTTATTATAATTCTGCTTAGTTTCTTCAGATGAAGTTTTTTACAGGAGGAAGTAGCCAACTTGAAGCTCCAAGCTTAATCTTAGTTTTCTATTACAACAAGGTTGGCAGGCTAGAGTGTTACTGTCTGTTACTTTCCTGAAAGGGGTCGATAGCACATGGGGTTGTGACAAATTTTTAAATATACATGTGCACATAAATGACAACTGCCATTCTCCATGTGGGTTTCGGAGCCCTGTTTTGGGGAAACAAAATCCCTGTGTGGATTCCAGGGCCCCATTTTAGAGGGAATAAATAATAGACTCGTTGCCCCCATAACAAGCATGTACAAAAATAAACTTATAAGGGATGTTTCTGTTAAATTATGGGTACATCTGCCTTAGAAGCCAGGAACAAACACTCTGCTAACAAATAAACCAGATCTGTATTATAGATGTTCTCGCAAAACATAAGTTCTGAAACAAAAGTCCAAAAGTGGGCAAACAACCAGAACTTTCCAGTGGAGTTTACAGCTGGTCAACATGAAGAAGAAAGATGGAAAAAAAAAGAATAAAACTAATGCCCCCAACAAAGGATAATGTTAAAGGCCACAAATTATGCGTTTGCTGAAATTGGATGTATTGGACCAAAAGGGCACAGAAAATGCAGATAGTTGTAAACCACAAAATGCGAATTGCCCTTTTAAGGGGGAACTAAATAAAAAGAACAAGAAGGACAAATGCCATCTGACAGGCATTACTGATGGAGTGCTGACTGTGAACTCTCACCTTCTGTTGGCCATGTTTGCCTGTGAGGTATTTGCGCAGCTGCTGAATAGACCATTTGCAGCCTTTCTCTGGATCATAGTCAGGAGCAGTTTTCTGTATTGCAACATTTGTCAGATGGATGTCTTCACACTTCGTTAAGCAAACATGTTTTTAAAATTTTTTTTTCTGATTTGGCTGAAACATTTTCTCAGTTTTTATCAATTACTAAATTTTATCTTATCAAAGTTTTACTATTAGGTTACAGTGGTTGGGGCATGTAGACGGAATGCTAGATAAATGAGAGACAAAACCTGTGCATACAAAAGAGATGGTGTTTCATTAATATCCTACCCCAAACAGGGAAAATCCACAGGTCAACGGTACAGTCTTATATTTTAGGGGGTGTTAGATAGTCTGCATGCAGTTGTGGAATCTAGGCTGCATGCAGTCGTGGAACCTAGGCTGCACTTTCTCGTGGGACGTAGGTATGTTGGGGTTATAGCCAGTTCTAGATGTTTTAGGGTCGTTAAAGCATCAGAAAGCTGGGAAACCCAGTCTTACCACCCTCTAAAATGTTAGACTGTCCTGTGATGTCATCTTGGGGTAGGATATTAATAAAGCACCAAAGAGTTGAATGGGAGTAGTCCACAAGGAAGACAACTAAGACACTAGAGAGATAATATACAGACAGACTAAAAACTTTCTTCCAGAGTTTACAGCCAGTAAAGGCTAAGAAAAAGAAGAGGATACAACAGATTAGTGTTTGTGTAAATATTTAAAGCAAACAATGATAAGATGCTTTAGGACTCCTTATCATGCCCTTATGCATACTGGTTATCATATCATATCTTTGAAGACCAACTAACGCTTGACTGGTGATGTGGTCAGTACCTTGCCACCACCACCCTCCTCCTCCTCCTTTTGCTTTCTTGCATTCACCAGCTGTAAAAAGTTTTTATTCTTCATCCATTTCTGGACTTGAGCCTTGTTCCAAAACTTGAGTTTTGTGTGCCCATTCACTTAACAGATCTGGCTTATTCGTCTCCAGACTGCTGGTTCCTTACCTCTCAGATCAATGTGCTCTAACTCCAGAGGAAGGTCACTCCTCTTTATTTCCAAAGATATTTCCTGCTACCCATTTTAGGATGGGTTGACTGGAAGCGGAGAACATGTTTAAAAAAATCTCTGCGACTAGAGGGATGAAATCACATATGTGGGCAAGCAAGGAAGCATGTTATTGACTGTGTTACTTGGGGATCCATACCATGTTTAATTGTTTGGTATCAGAGGACAGTTAACTGAGTTTTAAATCAGTGCATGATGTATTCTTTGGTACCTAGAGAGTTACTCTACTCTTTCAATACAAGAAAATGGATTACATAGGAGAGATGCTAATGGAGAAATAAATAACTGTGATTTAAATTCATTACTGCATTAATAATATAACAGTAGTAGTGAGTACTAAACAAGCCAGATTTCTTTAGTGTGTTCTAACTAAATAAAAAAAAGCAAGAGAATATAATAAGCCAAGGAGGGGATTCAGTAGATAGAGTGATTCACTCATTTTACATTGTTTGGGAAGCAAAGAGTTAAACGTATACATTTCACATGAATGTAAAATAATGTCAGCCACAATTTTTTTTTAAATTAATCATATTTTATCTACCCAAATATTCAACAGTAAAGGATACAGTTATCATCAATAGTTGCTAGAGAATAACGAAAGTTTGCAAAACGCGCAAAACCACTTCTATACAGCCAGACTTTCAAAGGGTTATACTGAAAGCAGAAAAATAAATTTACACATTTACATAAGTTTTGTAAAAAAAAAAATATTGATATACCAAAAGTAAAGAACATAAAAAACAATGTGAACTGTGAAAATGTTAAATTTCAAAGGGAAAACATGCATCAAAAGATGGCAATACACATGAAAGTAAAATCATCATACAAAAAAACTTAGATCTGTAGAACTGATGTTTACCCAAAACTCAAGGTCTGGAATTAGACTAAAGTCCAAAGGTTAACAAACAGAACTTTTCACCAGAGTTTACAGCCAGTGATGGTGACAAAAGACCAGAATAATGGCAAGTCACAGCACTAACTACTACACCACAACAACACTTATCTGCCATATTGTCATTGATTCCCCTGGCAGCATGAACAGCCATTTTCTTTGAACAAAGAAGACACAAATAACAGGTAACACAATTTAACCTGTGGCATATTCCGCTTATCTCGTCAAGTGCTTACTATAAAAACAAAGGAAAAAAATGAAGCAAATAAGCAGAAAATCAGTCACTCTCAAAACAGGAAAAAATTGCTTTGATTTTCTGATGTCGCCTTGCCTCCCATACTCATTGTGGTGTGCATCTGATGAGATTCAGTGAAATACTAGTCAGTAAATTGTGCAATCTATTATTTGTGTCTTCTTTGTTCAAACAGGCAAAAGAAAACATTGTTTTAAAAATGTTTCTTTACACCCTGTGAACCCAAGAGCATGTATTGATAATTTTTTTGGGTGTGCAAACACCTTTCTTTGCCAAGACTAAAGGCTATCACATATCTTCTCTTATCACATTCTTCTGTCACTCTATATAGATCTTTCATTTTTGTCAACTCATGCTTGGGCTATTAAATGATGACTGCCTCTTTCTGATGCACTGGATGTTGGAAACCTATCAAACACTCCTACAAATTAGGTATGAGCAAAACAATTCTCTGCCAGTGTTTTCATGCTGAACAGACTCCAGAACATGTCTTGCAACTGTCCTTTCCTGGAGGAGCTGTGAAACAACATGTGGCCACATCCAGTGGACCTGACAACCAAACTTTAGAGATCTCAAGGTGATATTGCAGTTTATGGTCACTAAGCGTACAACCAGAGATTGCTGAAGAAGATAAGGATGATGTTTGTGATAAGTAGCACCTAACTGATTAACAAATCATTTGTCTTTCACATAAACAACCAAGTTTATATTATTATTATTATCCCAGTGTGGGTTCCTGGGCCATCATGGCGGGGGGGGGGGGGGGGGGCAAGAACAGTTCCACTGCCTCCCTGACAAGAATGTCATAAGAATGGGTAGTTAGGGGTTTCCTTCAAAGTGGGAGTGATCTGCCTGAGAGGCAACGAACCAACAGTCTGTGTACAAATAAGCCAGATCTGTAAAATGGATTTGCATGCACAAATCATGTACTGGAACAAGACTAAAGTCCAGAAGTGGATGAAAAATCAGAACTTTCCGCTGAAGTTTACAGCCGGTAACACAAAGAAGATGTGGTGTTACTACAAAGGAACAGTGGAAAAAGAAAATCATAAACAGAGAGAATAAAAAACTCACAGACGTCACCAAAACATAGACCCTGATGTCAAACTTGCGTCCACCAATCAGATAAGGGTTCTCAATGTACCGCTGCACCACATAGGTTTCTATTGCTTGAGATGTTCCATCAGGGGAGAGAAGTTGAGGCTGATATTCTACACCCTGATTGTAAACATAAGATAAGAAATGTTATATTCCAGATGGCAAATTAGATTCAAACATATTAAATGAGTTATTTGCAGAATGTACAAAATCAGGAATGAGGTCATAAGAGACAAAAAATCTGGCACAGAACCAATTATAGATTGCATACAAAGACAGCAAATTAAATGGTTTGCCCCAGTGATGCCATACCACACAAGGCATACGCTAACACAGAGATGGACAAAGAGCACAAAGTAGAACAAGAACAAGACTGAAAGATAACATCAGACAAACTCTACAACAGCACTATACATCTATAGTGGCAATGACCAGAAGAGCAAGAACCTTAAATCTGCTCCAACACCCAAAGCGGTAAAAGAGGAAGTGAAGAAGAAAAAGAAGAAAACTATTTGCAGTCAGTGCCTGTTCTACGGTGAGGGGACTACAAGACCATTTGAACCAGCTAAGTTCAAGACAGAATATGAAAATAATAACAGCTAAAACCTAGCTAATGCAGGTCCGCTAAATACAGGTTTGAATGGTACATGCCTGAAGCAAGTTACACAATTTCTTCTTCTTTGCGTTCGGTTTCTTATGCTCAGATCAGACCATCAGGTGTGTTGCCTCTATGAACTTGCATGTCAGTAGTAGGTCCTTCATGGTCCCTCATAGCAGGTCCTTCATGGTTTCCCATAGCTTGCTCTGCAACACTTTGCTGTTGAGGCCAGGTGTCTTTTCAAAGTTGTAGGTAGAGTGGGCATGTCTGGAGAATGTGCTGAGGTGTTTGTGGTCCTGTCTGACAGACACGCTGTGGGGACTGTACAGTCTTTATTTTATGCATGTGGTAGCTGAGCCTAGTGTCCTATTCGTAGACAGGAAACCACTGTATGTTGCTTTCTGTTGAGTCTGCAGATGGGGTCTTGTGGATGTTTACTGTTAGTTTATTCTCTAAACAATTCCTTGTATTTTCCCTTGATAAGTGTTCTGATTTCTGGTAATGACAATGGACTTGTGCGTTGTTTCTCCTTTGTTCTATTTTTTTAGAGTCTGTCTGCTAACTTATTTCCTGGTATGCCGCAGTAAGCCAGAATCCACTGGAGAACAATTTGATTTTCTATGAGTCTGTTTAGCTGGCGGGCCAGTTCTCTCTCCATGTAGTCTCGTGGATCCCTCTGAGTCACCTGGAAGACAGTCCCAATGGAAAACAATTTTGCTCTTTTTAATTATTATTTTTCCTTGAGCACTTTAGCCAAATCAATAATTGCTTGCTGCTCTGCTCTGAAGTTTATTGAGTCTTCCAGAGGCACAAGAGGTTTTTACTGTAGTCCCATCTTTCAGCATGAATTACAGAGTTAACATTTCTAAGAAGTGAATTCTTGGAGGATGACATAATAGATTGGGGAAAAAAATGAGATACCAAACAGCCAGTTATTAAGATATATAAACATAAATATGACTGCCAAGAAACAGACTAAAAACAGCAAATTCATGCGAACACTGTGCTATCAGTGCCAAACATGGTCATTATTAAGGCTAAGCTTCATAAAATTAACACATATGAGATGGGATGCCTTAGAAAAGCTGCCAACATCCAAGACAGAGTGAGAAATGATACTCTCAGCCAGGTTGTGAGAACAACATCATGCACCAAATTCAGTAAGAAGCAAAAGATAAAATGATTTGATCACGTCATTAGAAGTCATTAGAATACAGCCAAAACAACTACCAACACAGTCACTAGATCTGAAAAAATCTGGCATGAAAGAAATATGGTGCCAAAGGAGAAGATGGATTTAGGATTTTAAAGAGCTTGTATATCAACACGGATTAATAATATCCAATGCTCTCTCATGGAGTGGTGAATCTCACATTTCTCCTCCCCTACACCACGTTGAAAACAAAAGTGGAAAATGATGAAGATAATGATGATAATAATTGTAAACATAAGTGAAATCAAAGTAAAGAACCATTTTCCTAACATTAACACATTGTTCAACTGGTGATCATCATCATCAAGTGCCTTGCTGAATGGTAAGTGCAATCATGCCTCTCCACAACTTGTGACAGTATTCATCAGCTCATGTGTTGACACCCATCCATACCATGACAACAGAATCTTCTTGCGTTGTCTTCCTCTACTTCTCTTTCCACAAATCTTTCTAGCGATCACAACATGTTCCGTTTTCCCTCTTTTCAAATTGTAGCCACAAAACCTGACTGCCTCCTTCTGATGATGTTGTGAAGTTACCTTTGGGTCCTTACTTATTTCAAAACATCTGCATGGCTCACTTTTGCTATCCAAAAAATTGTAAGCACTTTTCTACAAAACCGTATTTTGGAGGCCTTAGGAAATAGTCTGGCCCATTTATCAATTGTAAGGATTCACAGCCATGTGTTAAAACAGGTTCTATATAACTTGTGATAATTTATTGTCTAACTTCCCATGACAGGGAGCGGCCGTGGTGTGGTGGCTAGACACTCGCCTGTGGATCTGAAGGTTGTGAGTTTCGGTCCTGATGGAACCAGACTTTTTTTTTTTGCTGCCAGGTCGATCCAATTTAAGTTCTGGGAAGTAAAGGTGGCCGAAGTGATGTTGACCACATCACCCACAGAGTGCCGGCTGGTCTACAAAATATAGATTTAACCCTATAGGCCCAATATGCCTGAGTGTTTGGAAAAGGGTCCTTTACTTTTTTACCTCCCACAACAGAGATATATTACCTAAGTTGTTCACACGATGGTAGACCCATATTTATGGGGATCAATCTTAGTATTCGCTTTGGGCTGGGTCGACAAGAGAACTGACTTAGTTAAACAAATGTGATTTGAACTCAAGGGCTTTGGACATGCAAGCTAGTGATTATCCACTGCTTTATCACAATTGAAATGTTTCCAGAAAATTAGGAAAACTGTTTGGTAACCATTTTTTCCAGACGCTGGATTAGGTCCAAATTTAAACTGGCGAAATTAAATTCTGCCTCTGCTTGGGATTAAACCCAGACCACTGTATCTTTAAAAGCTACAGAAATAAATAGCTGGGCAACATCTGAGCTCACAGAGACAGTATGACAAACAAGCTCTTTGACAACTACAGAAGCAAATACCTTGGAAACCCATGAAGCTTTAAAAATAACATGATAAACAACTATTTAATCACTACAGAAATAAATATCTGGGCAACACTTGAGATCATACAAACAGTATGACAAACAAGCTCTTTAACCAATAAAGAAATAAATAGCTAGGTAACACCTGAGGTCACACAAACAGTATGATAAACAAGCTCTTTAACTACTAAAGGAATAAATAGCTGTGCAACACCTGGGGTCATTAAAAACAATGAATGATAAACAAGTTAAAAGTTACTGACTGGCACTCATAGAAAGAAGTAAAGAGAGAAGGGCATGTTAGACAACATAAAAATTAAAAGCTCTAGACGCCAACTCTAGTTAGTTGCTTATCTTTTACAGGACGTTGCAGAACCAACCCTAACAGCCCCTGGTTGTTGTGTGGTTTCTCTTGGCAAATTTACGTCCAGTAGTTTGCCATTGCTTTCTGGACGGTCGGCTTTCTTGATACCACTGTCGAAACCAACGCAAGGCGCATTGCCCGCAGCTGGGATCAAACCTGGCATCCCGGCATTATGAAGAGAAGCGTTCACATCGACTTAGCCACAGAGCCGATGACGCCAACTCTACACTCCTAAAAATAGTTGTCATTACTAAGCAGGCTAATACACCTAAATTAGCAACTATGGAATATAGACAGAATTTCCATTCACTGAAATGGCACACCATGGGTTACATAAATGTATTTTATCCAAGCATATGTTAAATAACAAACACACAAACATATCAATTCATAACGATGTAACTCGCATATAACAAACATTAAAGAAGAGAGATAATTGACTGGTCTTCTTCTTCTTCTTCTTCTTCTTCTTCTTCTTCTTCTTCTTCTTCTTCTTCTTCTTCTTCTTCTTTGCCTTCTTCACAATCCCAAGTTGTAAACTCTGGCAGAAAATTTTGATTGTTTGTCCACTTCTGGACTTTAGTCTGGTTCCAGGAATTATGCTTGCATATCAGTTTCACATATTTGACTTTTTGTATGCAGACTGGTGGTTCCTTGCCTCTCATGCAGATACACTTTAACTTTGAAGGAAACCCATGATTAGTTAACTCTTACAACATGTTTATTAAGGAGGCAGTGAGTCTATTCTTGTTTTCCCTACAATGAGGCCCCTGAAACCCACATGGGATTGGTTCAGTTTGTTTGTCTTTAACCAGTTTGCTACCAGGGCCGATATCTAGCCATTATGAAGAATCATACTAACCCTCTTCCAGTCTGTGATATCTTTCAGCCGTTTGAAAAGGAAAATGCCTTTGCCCTGAGATTTGGCAATTGGTTTCATGATCCATATGGAGCCAGGACTTTTCCGAAACTCGTCAACAAATATGTGGTACTCAGACTTGGTGGAATAAATCAAATATAATTAGTTTCAATTAAAACATCATAAATATTAGAAATATGTAATGTTTTGCAAAGAAACAAAAGCAGTTTATTTCTAAGATTGGGAGGGGTGTGTGGGGGAGATGAATATAACTGCAGTTTATGACTGTTAGCTGCAATGGATTCAACTGTACTGCTTTACTGTAGTGTAAACATAAAATGTCACATATTATTATAATTAGTAACTCTGAAAAAAGCATTTACTTACAGGAAGTTCAAATGTTGAAGGAAAAAAATCACATCTGATAAAAGTCAAGTCAATAGTATTATATATAGATTCTGTATCTGAAAATAATGTAGGCTATAAAGTTTACAACATAAAGTACAAAAAAGATATAAAACTGAATGAAAAGTATATCAGCAAGCTTGACAATGATACGAAGACAAACAAAATGTGAACAATGTGGCTATGGAGCCTTCATGAGCACATACATAAAAAACAAAACCACCACACATTTTCACAAAATCGCTTAGCTTAGTATCTCAAAGCGGCCAGGTCGATGTCTTGTCAGTAGACTGGAGGGGCACATAGGACCGGAGAATAAATACCCCTGGGGAATTCCAGGGGCTGTAACTGGAGGATTTTAGATAAAACTGTGTGGGCAGTTCAATCTCCTAGGATTTTAGATAAAACTGTGTGGGCAGTTCAATCCCCTAGGATTTTAGATAAAACTGTGAGGGCAGTTCAGTCCTCTAAGTTTAACATGATGTAGCATGCAGATCTGGATATGATGGGGACTATAAAGTTTAATCATATTAAATAAATAACCTAGATCTGGGTGTTAAGAGGGCTATAAAGTTTATAACACAAAGCACAGCATACAGATCTTGAAGTGGACTATGAAGTTTATAACATAAAGTATCACATCTAGAGCTCAACACAGAGTGGATATCAAGTTTATACTAAACATACAACACCTAAATCTAAACATAAGGTGGGCCATAAATTTTATTACATAAATTACAGCATTCAAATCATAATTATGTGGAAGGGATGATTCTACAAAGTTAAACTGAGGTCAGACAGCGCAGACATGAATACAGGAGATTAAAGATGTGTTTGGTATGACAACTGATCTTCTTCTTCTTCTGCCTTTCTATCCCCCAATGTAGCATAGGCCCTCAACCAACTAACGCCAAGTCGTTCTATCCTTCGCCATTGCATGGAGCTCTCCCCATGTCCTCCCAATCTTTCTAACCTCATTCTCCAGCTCTCTTCCTAGCTGAGAGGAGGTACGTCAACGATCCGGACTCCTTACGGCTTTCTCCACACCGTGTCATACTTCTTCTATTTGAAGAGCCTCCCCTCATCTTGGTTGGCAGGATTTTATTTGCTTCTCTTTTTGACTTATCCATGGTTGGTTGGTTTTTGTGGCTATGGTTTTTACAGGATGAAGTAGCCAACCTCAAGCCCAACCCTACCCTTAGTCGCCTCTTACGACATGCCTGGTAGGGTGCAGTGTCACTATTCTTTGCTTCCCGTGAGGGCCCCGGTGACACACGGGCGATGACAACTGATGAAGCCAAAGAACTCTGATGGTTTTTTACTGTAGGTCATATTAAGAATGACACACCGCAAAGGAGCTGCTGCACAAACATAAGCTACATCTTGCTACTTCACCATTGGGGATGAAACACAAACTTCTTCTCTTCTTGGCATTCACTAGCTTTAAGCTCTGGCAAAAAGTTCAGGTTATTTGTCCATTTGTGGACTTTACACTTGTTCCAGAACTGGAGTTCCATGTGTACATTCATTTGACAGATCTGGTTTATTTGTATGCAGACTGTTTTTTCCCCTCCGGCATATGCACTCTAATTTCGAAAAAAAAAAAAAAAACAACACAAGGTAGTAACCTTTTACAACATGCATGTTAGAGTGGTGGTTAGGCTTTTTTAATAAGCTGACATACTGCAAAAGACATGCTACACAAACATAAGCTGTCTTCCTGCTTCACCACTGGGGATGAAGCAAACAAAAAGAAAACGCTTCCCTGGATATCTTCTATAAAACTGTCTTCTATACAAAGAGCTAAGAATAATATCCTGGCCCACTGGGGGGAAAAAAGTAAAGTGACTGGCTCATAAGACATATGATGCTAGACCAATTTTTAAACAAGAGAAATGAGAATCTTATGGGTGATGTGATTACCATCATGCCTATGGCCTTTACTTCTTAGGTCTCTTCCTGTTACTCATTTTAGGCTGAGAGCCATACATACATTACAAAATCTGCTTTATAGCCTATTCAAACTCACTGGAGTGTGTGTGTTGGGGGAGGGGGTGGATAGACCCGGTGCTCCATAACAAGCATGCCGTAAAAGGCAGCTAATTCAGGTGATTTTTTAAAAAATAATAATAAATTGTGTTAGGCCAAAAGGTGCGGATACTGCAGCCTAGCTGTAAACCATAACACAATGATCCAACTGCCCTTTCAAGGCAAATGCAGAAAAAAAGTAACAAAATAAACATAGATTTTTTTCTTCAAAAACCAGATCAAACATCACATGTCTAACAGGGTTAATAAAAAAAAAAAAAGCAGTGATCACAAGAAGAAGAACGTAACAAATAAACATGTTCACAAAATATATCAAAAATTTTGTACACAAAAAGGATACTTTTGAGCCTCAGCTTTTCCGCAGTCTCGTTCCAACTGTCGACGTAATCGCTTCAAATTTTTCACCATCAGATTTTTCCGAGTGAGCTGTGCAAAAGAAATCATTCACTTGGAACAGAAACCTTAAAATATATTATGAAATGGTGATTATTTTTAATTTGTACATTAGATCTTTTAAATAGTTATTTAATCTTAAAAACTAAAACATTTAAATGTTAATAATCAAATAAAATGATACACTGACTTGTCCATAATAAAGTTAGAAAAATGCAGGTAAAGAGAAAGAGAGAGAAAGAGAGAGAGAGAGAGAGAGAGAGAGAGAGAGAGAGAGAGAGAGAGAGAGAGAGAGAGAGAGAGAGAGAGAGAGAGAGAGAGAGAGAGAGAGAGAGAGAGAGAGAGAGAGAGAGAGAGAGAGAGAGAGAGAGAGAGAGAGAGAGAGAGAGAGAGAGAGAGAGAGAGAGAGAGAGAGAGAGAGAGAGAGAGAGAGAGAGAGAGATAGAGAGAGAGAGAGAGAGAGAGAGAGAGAGAGAGAGAGAGAAGAGAGAGAGAGAGAAAGAGAGAGAAAGAGAGAGAGAGAGAGAGAGCAGAGAGAGAGAGAGAGAGAATCACAGAGACCTACAGACATGGCAACACAGAGAGAGAGAGCCACATGCAACACACAGAGAGCCACATGAGAGAGAGAACACACACAGCCACATGCAACACACACAGCCACATGCAACACACACAGCCACAGGCAACACACACACAGCCACATGCAACACACACACAGCCACATGCAACACACACAGCCACATGCAACACACACAGCCACATGCAACACACACACAGCCACATGCACACACAGCCACACACACAGCCACATGCAACACACACAGCCACATGCAACACACACAGCCACATGCAACACACACAGCCACACATGCACACACACACAGCAACACACACAGCCACATGCAACACACACAGCCACATGCAACACACACAGCCACATGCAACACACACAGCCACATGCAACACACACAGCCACATGCAACACACACAGCCACATGCAACACACACAGCCACATGCAACACACACAGCCACATGCAACACACACACAGCAACACACACAGCACACACACACACAGCCACAGGCAACACACACAGCCACAGGCAACACACACAGCCACAGGCAACACACACAGCCACAGGCAACACACACACAGCCACATGCAACACACACAGCCACATGCAACACACACAGCCACATGCAACACACACAGCCACATGCAACACACACAGCCACATGCAACACACACACAGCCACATGCAACACACACACAGCCACATGCAACACACACAGCCACATGCAACACACACACAGCCACATGCAACACACACAGCCACATGCAACACACACACACAGGCACACACACACATGCACATGCAACACACACAGCCACATGCAACACACACAGCCACATGGCAACACACACACACAGCCACATGCAAACACACACACACATGCAACACACACAGCCACATGCAACACACACACACAGCCACATGCAACACACACACAGCCACATGCAACACACACAGCCACATGCAACACACACACAGCCACATGCAACACACACAGCCACATGCAACACACACAGCCACATGCAACACACACACAGCCACATGCAACACACACAGCCACATGCAACACACACAGCCACATGCAACACACACACAGCCACATGCAACACACACAGCCACATGCAACACACACAGCCACATGCAACACACACAGCCACATGCAACACACACAGCCACATGCAACATATACAAGCAGCAGACAAACACATGCAGCCCAGGTGGCATATACAAATCTCTGTCAAGCAGATTTGAAAGCATCTTCAGATCTGGCAGGAAAAGATGTATTCTTCTTCGTCCTCTTCACTTTCACCAGCTGTAAACTTGGGCAGAAAGTTCTGGTCATTCGTCCACTTCTGGACTGTAGTCCTGTTCTAGAACCTGAGTGTTGTATATGCATCTGTTTTACAGATCTGACTTATTTGTATGCAGACTGTTAGTTCCTTGCCTCGCAGGTAGATGCACTCTGACTTCGAAAGAATCTCCCAATTAATTGACTCTTACGATATGCCTCGGTACCCATAAAACTGCAAGTAAAGTAAAATATAGGACCTTTTTATGCCTGCAGCTCACCTGGCATATGACTCATATTTGTATAGACCAACTGGCTGTCAGGTAATATGATCAACATCACATGTTCTACCTTTACTTTCTATGACATTACCTGGTACTCATTTTGAGTTCAGTTGACTAGAGAACTAAGATTAATTTTAGCAAATCTGACTCAATGAGGTTTTAAACCTAAGACTTAAACCCAACAAGGTGTCTAGACTTTATGCCATAATGGCTCTCAGATAAGACTGTTCAACTCTATAATTCCCTAATATGTGATTGGTTATTTTCCTTGAATCCCACCCAACACAGAATGTGATCTATATAGTTTTTTTGTTTTTTTTACATTTGGTCAGAGTACACTAAAGAAATCTGGCTTCACTACTGGCGACTTCCAGCATGTATTAAGCCTCTTTGAAGGTCATACACTCAAATTTCTTCTTACTGATTATGTCCTGTCCATTTGAGAACAAGCTTATTGGACTGAAAGAGTTAAATATTTGTTAAGTGATATAAATGCTAAATGTTGTGCTCCTGAATGATAAAATTAAAATAAGACATTAGTTAGTTAGTTAGTTAGTCTTTCCTCTTGTGTCGAGTGCGGCACATAGGGCAGAGGTCGTGACTCTCCATGCACGGCGGTCCGTTGCAATCCGTTGTAGGTCTTGGATGTTTGAGTGGCCCATGAGCGAGCCTTCCCTGATGATAGTTCTACGTAGGGTTTCCCTTGGTCTTCCACGAGATCTTTTCCCCTGTGGTGTCCAAATGAGGGCTTGGTAAGGAAGTCTTGATTTATCCATTCTAAGGGCGTGGCCGACATAGTTCCAACGGCGTTTTCGTATAAAATTAGACACATACTCTTGCCTGGATTCTTGCCTTATTTGTGTATTGGTTCGGAAATCTGACCATTTGTAATTTAGTATTTTTCTAAGGCATTTATTTTCAAAACTGTCTAATTTTGTGTCTAGAGTTTTCGTTGATTTCCAGCTCTCGCATCCATAGGTTAGTACTGGAATCACACAAGAATTGAAGATCTTGAGTTTTGTGTGTTTGCTAAGTGTCTTTGATTTCCAGATGTTAGACAGTTTATTGAAGGCACTAGATGCCAGTGCTATTCTAAATGATATTTCTGGTGCGGTATCTCCTGTAGATGACATCTTGCTCCCTAGATAAGTGAAACTGTTGACTTTTTCAAGGCTGTTGTTGTTCAGCGTGATATCAACTGAACTGTTGGTAAGACATGTTAAAGCTTAATACTGGGAAACAAATGAGGGGTGTGAATGAAACTGCTGTTGTATGAACACAATTAAAATGAATACATATATTAAAAAAAGTAAAAAAGTAAAGATCCCTTTTCACGCCTTTCGGCGCATCGGGCATATGGGCAGAGCGTCCCATATTTTTACAGAAAATCAGCACTCTGTGGGTAATGTGGTCAGCATTACGCCGGAATACATATATACAGTGTTTAAATACATTGTAAATATTTATAAATTTTGGAAACACCTGTTGTATTTGTGGCTGAAATTAAAGCTGGATAAAAATTATTGGTACATCTTGAGTAATAAATATCCATTTAAAATTTTTTTATTTAACAGCAGCCATTAAGAATTGTTATTTATCCATAATCATTAACAGAATAAACTTGCAGAAAGTTTGACTAAACATAATTATAATCAATTAAAAAAAGAACATTTAGTTTATACTCTTTGTTTATTATGTTGAAATGAAAATATATGATTTAAATGTTTTATATGTATCATTAACAGTTAAATAAAGAACATGTTAAGCTGTTTATTAGCCAATCTTCCTTGATGTTCAGATCTTTTAAGATGTCAATATTTCTCCTCTTCTTTGTCCAAGATATTCTGAGAATCTTTCTATAGCATTTGAACTCAAAAACCCCTATTCTCTCTCTTAAGGACTGGGAGATAGTCCACCACTCACATCCGTATATTGCTATAGGGAATATGCATGATCTCAAAATTCTAATTTTGATCTCCTTGCTAGTGCTTATCCATAGACTTTTAATGGTTTTAAATATGAATATATTTGTTAAAATTATCATGGGGGAGTTCTTGTAGACCAAATAGTATGATTTTTCAACCCACTGTGATGCAAAATTTCCCTTAGCCTCAAAGACAGAGGTCACAGGATCCCAGAAAGAGTCACCCAACTAGACAAAGTCAAAACAAAAATCTGCATCCATTGGATGCCAGTCACAGCTACGGAACAGACCGTGAAAAAAATCATTACCGGAATCACGGGAGACGAAGATCCCGAAACCTATCAAACGAAGCACGGTATCGACAGATGGCATGCCTCGGTGAGGGAGACAAAACCGATCCCTCATTATGTTAACATGAGACATCCGGCGCTCCCCGGCGGCAAACACCAGCTCTGGGTCACTGTGCCAGGCAGAAGGACGAATTGTCCTCACTGCGGGCACAATGACCACTGGGCAAACAAGTGCCCTACAAGGAGGAGACGACCCGAGCCAGTAACTGCACCCATTCCGGAGGAGGTTCATCCACCCCAGGAAGAGGCGGCAGTCGCTACGGAAGTGACATCAAGCAGGCAGTCCTCAACGGAAGAAGAGGGCCCACAGACCAAAGGCAAGAAGCAGAAAAAGTCAAAAAGCGAAGCCGCCAGAAGGCCAGCTCCAACGAGACGTCACCTGCAGCAAAAAGAGACAACAGAGAGAACAAGGAATCCCCAGAGGAAACGACAGCAGCTGCCAGGGAAAAAGTGTCAACATCCTGCTCAGAAGACACAGACTGGGATGGTGATGTAGAGCCGCACATCAAAGACATTTTATGTCCAAAATGCTCGGCGGAATCGACCACATTCTCGCATACAGTCACCAAAGTCCACTGCGTCAGATGTAACCATCAACTGGCAAAACCATCGAAAAAAGGACACTCACTTTTTTTCCTAGAAAACGTCAATGCAAGAAAGAGACCACTGACACAGTACGGAACCCTCTCTTGGTGCGAACCCAAAAAATGAGTGGAGTCCCCCCTCTCTTCATTTTTCTCCGCCCCAGAGCCTTTTCCTTTCACTTTGTTTCGTTACCTTTCCATTTCTTTTTGTTTGTTTTTGTAAATTGAATAAAATTTTGAACGCACTCACAAAACAACACAACAATAACACGCACAAAAGGCAACGAATGTAAAAACAGACTTACAAAAATACTAGCAACATACAAAACACAAAAAAAAAAAAAAAAAAAAAAAAAAAAATATTGGGTGCTGAGTGGTCTTGAGGTATGGTGTCCACCTTGAGTGATGGAGGTCCCGGGTTCAAGCCCGGTGAAGGCTGGAATTTTTTTCACGTGGACTTCTACTAATTTTCCCATGGTCTCTGCGTAGTAAAATCAAAATATTTACACATACATATATTTATTTTGGGCCCTGGGAAATGTATTTAATTTAATGCTTCACTCTGTTTATCATTACTGTTTACTGTCTGAATATAAATTTACACATTTTGAAACAAAACTTTAAAATGCAGATGCATTAATTTTGAAAGACCTGTGTAAAATGGGTGTGTTAAAGAGTTTTTGTTTTATTTTAAAAGTATTCCCACAAGTTCATGCCCCACTGTATTCATCATTCCCAAGGTGAAAGGTTAAAGATATTCAAACTTATAACTAAAAAGTTAGCTATAAGCATAAACAGGCGTGACTGCAACCAAGCTGATATCAAGAAATACTAAATACAACACCTACTGCGACTAGAAAACTCAACAGACAAGACAACAGTGCTTGCAAACAGCCAAAATATAGAACCAAAATATGTAATATTTTCCCTAGTTAGTATGTCTGGTTCCATGTTCAGGAAAAAACTGAAAAAAGATGGGCTATTAACTATTTAAAATGAAATTACCTTCTATATTTTAAATATATTTTACCCAAATAAACAGTTTGTTTCATTTATTTTACAGAATATTATATTTCAGACTCTGTGGTGCAGGCATTGCGAACATGCTTTATAATGCCAGGGTTCCATGTTCAATCCCAGCTACAGGGGATTTGACAGCAGACCAGCTAGTGTTGGTTTTGACAGTGCTATCTAGAGTTCAGAAAGTAATGGCAAACTTCTGAATGTAATTTTGCCTAGAAAAACCACAACAGCCAAAAGTGATGGGGTTTGTTCTGCAACGGCCTGTAAAGGATATGAAATGCAACTAATGTTGTTTTATATTATTTTTTAAAATATTATTTAAGCAATTAATATACTAAATTATTTTAGTTAAAACTGCAAAAAACACATGCACACACACACACACATGCCCGCCCCCACACCTGCACCCACACATAGCTACTCACTCACACTTACACTCACAGACACTCATACACACATCACGTTGCTGTAAAAGTTTTCTATTAAATTAAACTCTTTTATTAAAGAGCAGAAACAGGAAACATCTGGATTACTTTCAATAGGCTCCTACCTCATAATGATTTCTGAAATGGTTTATTCTCATTTGGTCCTCCAAATATGCCCGATCAAAGATTTCCTTCATCCACCAAACATCCGCCCAATAGAAGTCCCAAGCTCCTTCACTTCACCATCATGAGAGGTAAAAATAAGTCCAAAGATAAAACTTCAAACAAAGCCAGTTCTAATCTAATCAATAACTGTCTGAAGAGGCTAACAAAATATTATAGAGGAAACGCTCCAGCAACAAATAAATGCTTTTTTTAAAAAGAAACATGATTTCTAAGAAAAATCTATGCAGCTGAAAGTCCATACACAGCAGTTTCATTCACCATGTAACCCATCACTTGTCTTTGTCAACAAAGCTGATGAGAATAACAGACATGAAGAGCTCTCCCAATAAAGAAAACAGGAAATTTGTTCAGGAGCAGAATACCAGCATTAACTTTACATATACAATTTCATTCAACCAGCAATAAACAAAGCATACACATTGTGCAAGATAAAAACATTAAGATTACACTGCAAAAAAAAAACCAGGACAACAAACATACAACAAGCTACCAGTTATAATTTCAGCACACACAAATATGTGTGTATGTCACCTGTTGCTTATAATTTTTAGTAACAACATTCTTCTTCTCTTTTCCTTCTGTCCTCTATCTCCCTATGACCCTCAACAATGCCAAGTCGATCTTTATTTTGCTATTGCAAAATGGGGCTCACCCCATGTCCTCCCAATCTGTTTTCACTTCACTCTCTAATTTCCTTTTCAATGTGCTTTATTTTTTTAAATGCCTTTATTCCTCTGACCATGTGGATTCCAGTGTAAAAGATTCTAGTTAAATTGTTATCAGGTTTTCTCAGTATCCTATCCAATACCATCATCTTTTCCTGAATCTTTTTGATTAATTGAAATTAGTTTAGTTCTCTCCCAAAGCTCTACATTAGTGATTCTGTCCTACTGTGTAGTTTCCTATATTTTGTGCAGGTATCAGGTAATGTACGCTTGTAGCGTATTAATACCGGAAAGGCTAACCCAGTCGACAAATGCTCGCAGAAGACAAATGTGTTGGCCAAAAGGTGTAAATATCACAGCCATTCAGTAAACGGACACAAGGCAATTACATCTTCAGATAAATGCAGATCTGTATATCAGAGCTGGCTTTTGCAGACGATGTGGCCCTGATAGCTAAATCAGAGGCACACCTTCAGTCCAACTTACTTGTCTGGAAGGAAGAGCTTGAAAAGAAAGGGATGACCATCAGTATCTCCAAAACTAAAACCATGGTGATCTCAAGAGAGGAGAAGAAACACCAGATCATGATGGGACAGTGTGCATTGGAGCAGGTTAACCATTTCAAATGCCTTGGAGTTGTACTAGACCAAAACGGAGGCATTAAGACTGAGCTGGCTACACGAAAAGCAGCTGCTGGGAGACTCTTCCAGGCCATAAACCGAGGGTTTCTTAGCAAAAGAGAAATTGGCAAGAGGACGAAAATGGCTGTTTACCGCTCTACCTATGTACCAGTCCTGACCTATGGGTGTGAGTCATGGGCAATGACAACAGCTCACAGAAGCCAGCTGCAGGCCTCAGAAATGAGATACCTGAGAAAGGTGGTCCAAGTGACAAGAAGGGACAAAGTCTGCAATCAGACAATACGTCAAGATCTTGATACCCAGCCCTTACTAACCCGAGTAGATCAGTCACAGTTACGATGGTTTGGACATGTATGCAGAATGGGAGAAAATCGGCCACAGGGAGGCTAAGAACCAGGGAACCAGACCTCCGGGACGACCCAGGGTGCGCTGGGAAGTCAACATCCGACAGTCCCTAACTGACAGAGGACTGGAATGGAACAAAGCCAGAAAGAAAACTGCTGATAGAGACGTCTGGCAATCTCTCTGGCAAACCTCTACACCCCAAGGTAGAAGAGGAGCGACTAAGTAGTAAAGTAGATAAATGCAGAAGAAGAAATATATCAATTACTCTTTTAATTGCTCTCTGGTTTCAACTCCATACAGCAGCACTGGTTTGACATTAAAGCTAAATTTTCTAAGTTTGTTACTAATTTCCCATTTTCTTTCACTTCTACTGAATTCCAGATTTTATAAAAACTCCTCATGCCTTGTGTATTCATATATCTCTATTTTTTTTCCATTCGTGTCTACGTTATTGATTATTGTGTCAATAATAGGTATACATTTCGCATATACAGCTTATGTTGAGTGATAAGTAGTCAAAAAATATAGGGCTAACCTCAAACACTCACAAATTTGAAAGAATGTTCCTGACTTTAGATTTATATACTGAACAATTCCTAAAATGCTTACAGCAAATTTATTATAAATAAGGAAAGGTCTACTGGTAAACATACACACTTCTACATATAAAACAAAAAGTTACAACAAAACAACAAGGAAAGGCATTAGCTGTATGTGATAAATAATATAGAATTACACAGTCAAAAATAAAAGAAGAAAAATTACAAGAAAAATCGTGAAAAAACAGAAGAGGAAAAAATACAACAAATATTTATACTCATTTCTATCTGCATTCTCAAGATACAGTGCAAATCTGCAAATGACCTCATAATAATAGTAGTAGTAGTAGTAACTTTCTCCAAAATATCCTGTTCAACGCTCAGGGTTATAACTGGTATATAAAGTCCATCAAGTTCTCAGAGTATATATTTGTTATTTTAAATATTCGTGCAAATATCTGTTTAGGATAATTATGTAATTTGCATTATTGTTCCAGCTATTGCCTTGATTGCACCTTTTTGAGCTGTGATTCAGATAAAAAACTGTACTATCAATATGGATAATTTTACTAACATTGTGTCATTAAAATAGCAGATTTATTATGCCATTAAAATAACAAATAATCATCCTTATGGATTTTTTCTTTGGAAGGAATTTCTTTAAAGATGGCAACATGCACTTATGACCCTTTTGTATATGAATTTTAGTTCTAGTAATGAATTGTTTGACCTTGCCAGGCAGGTCTCTGCAGCTGTCTATGTGCAATAAATTTTGCATCATCACCCATAACTCATAGAGATTTATATAGCCAATGGTTTCATTTAGGGCTCACATTTCTTAAACTCTATCAAGTAGTGCTCTATTTTACTGTACTTCTGGCATAAATCACAGGTCTCTAAGTTGTAGTCTAAGCAATTTTCAATTACATTGGGATTTCAAGTCCATCTGTTATCTAACACCGTCTTTCAGGAGCACTGAGCAACTTATATGAATATCTAACTTTCAGACATTGGTCCAAATTTAAGAATCATTCCTCTGATACAAATTTAATCACTGATCCTAATACTTCTCAAATGACTATTCTAGAATTCTCTGGAAAACAACAAGTACACTCCATTCTCAAAAGAGGAAATGAAACAAAAACACCACACACTCATTCATTTCTAGAAGCAGTCACGAAATAAAAGTGGATACTGTTAGTGAAAGATGACAAATTTGCTAATGACCTCATAAAAATTTCTAAAATGGCTGACTCTGGAGTTCTCTGGAAAATATACATTGTCTTCATGGTTGGTCAACCAGTCTTTGTCACACCAAAAGAAATCCCATTCATGGCTGCAACATGGTATAATATGACAAGGTCAATTTAATAACCCAACATTATCCACAAACCATTCCTTATATTTTAAATGGTTACATTATGCCCATAACATCTTAAAATGTTTTACATATGTAATAATTTTAAAACCAATAACAACAGCATTTGTTCATCTCTTGTTTTTCAAACTATCTGTACCGTAATGATACATACAGAAGCCACAACAGAAAAGAAGGCATAGATTATAGTGCAAAGTGTCAATGATAAAAAGTGATACTGAAGAACTGGAGGAACTGAACGATTTCACTTACATTGGAGTCTCAGTCAATAACAAACTATGGACGGACCAAAAAATCAACATCAGGATGAGCAAGGAAGCAGTTTGGAAGAGTAGAAAGCTCATGGCTAAAACAAAAATGTATTTATTAAGCTTTGGGTTCTCAGCACTGTTCTTTATAGTAGTGACAGTTGGTTGACTTATCGGAATGAGTAAAAACAGCTAAATATGTTTGGCATGCAATGCCTAATAAGAATACTTGGCATTAAGTAGCAAAACAAGATCACAAATACTATGGTACTGGAAAGTCCAGGTATCACAAGGTTCTCAGTTCTCAGTCTTTAAAGGCTCTTAAAGCTAGGACACACTTGCAGGATGGAGGATGGTAGAGTCCTGAAAGACATCTTGTGAACTGCAGATAAATAGAAGATGTCGTATACTATATCACATGGAGGGGGAATATCAGGGAGAGAACAGGTATAAAGGAGAAAACAGCAAATAGGTAAAGAACTGTGTGTCTGAGAAGAAGCATATGAACTACATATGATGGTAACAATATCCTGACATCTCATGCTCAGTAAAACTAATGTTGGTCTCCCCAGATCCCTTCCATTTACACACTAGCTCACTTCTGATTAGTAGATTTTGAGCCATGTGATCTTGACACAAGGTTACAGGGGTTTTTCACAATGCTGTTAATATCGTGTGTTGTATATTTCAACACACCAGCGCTTTTAACACTCCAAAAACATGGAAAAACTAGGTCTGATACAACTGCCCTAGAAAGTGCTGCAACCAATGCCACAGGTATTCTTTTTCTTGGAATAAAAGCATAAATGCAAGACAACCCAGAAAGCAAACTACAGAGTGGCATACCAGTAAACCCCAGGAAAGTAGACCATCCCAACAAACTTGTGAATAAAACGTGACCTACTTTGTTTGGGGAGACTAACTTAAACCTAACCTCATGCTCTAACTGCAGAAGACTTTATTTTATGTGAGAGGTCTTACTGGTCTGGCTGGCTACTATCACTGGCTGTGATTCCTATGTCTACCTCTAGCACTATATGAAATGATGGGAAAATTGAAAGATCCCAACAAAGTAAGCACAGTAGCAATCTTGTTTACTTGTCAATTTGGTGAATCATAAGTTTGAGCTGAGTTGAGGTGAGTCACAAATTGACATCACAGCACTCGGGGAATTCCCACATGTTCTCCGTCCTCGTCTTCAGCAGCCAGTGACAATTTCCAATACTAATAATACC